CATGTACCATGCCTCACGCCATGTGACTTGACAAGCCATGCATGCCGGGCAAACATAAGCCGTTTTCACGGTGGCTCATTACGTAAAATAGTTTAGAGCGGCACGAAATATTACGATAATTATTGCTTGAATGACGTTTTCTTCTTTTAAACATCTTAACGTGTTGCTGGCAACAGCTTGTTTGGAGCAAAGGGCCAGCTGAAGCTAGGCATGGCAGGCTGACATTCGTAAGATTCCCCAAAATACGTGCACTAATCTCGACATTTCGAAATCTTTTCATTCGGTTAGCACGGAAAATCTTCGCAGAGGCAGTTGTCATCTAATGCTTGTGAGAATACGTCAAAAGCATACAGGCGTGAACGTGACGTCTTGGCTGTAGCCTACGCGCGTGGGTCTAACATACGTGGCCCGTTCGGTGGCGATCGACGGGGCTTCAAACTGGGCCGGGGCGCGGATTCAGCTCCCCCTGCGGCCTCAATTTGCCTGGGCCGCGCTCCCCCCCCCTCCCCCCCCCCCCCCACTGGACCAGTGCTGGCCTGCCAGCCATCTGGTGTGTGATCCAGTCCCAGCTGCACCAGCGCGGCGCTCCCGCGCCAGACCCATCAGATATGACTCCATCCGGCTTTGCCTTGTGCCGGCTCGATATTTGCTCTCGACGAAAAAAAACGTTATTATTTTTCCCATTTGATTGCTTCTTTTTTTGTCATTGCTATCATTCCCAGCACTTCCGACAGCGTTCCAATGGGGGCACCGTCCTTTCCCAAGAGCGGGTGAGATATGTAGCCTGCATATCTTGTTGCGGCAGTGTCCAACAGGGCAGGAAGTCTGCAAACCACCCAGATGGTTTGCAAGCTGCCTGATTTATAGCATTGCCCTTGAAAGGTGTTTGTTATGCAGTAAGCTGGCGGTGACTGAGTTCAGGTGTTTGATGCTGAAAAGCTTCTGCGCTAGTTTTCAAGGTCTACATTATAAACAGAATACGTTCTTGGAAGCTGACTGTTAACAGACACCACGCCGGTGGAAAGATCGTTGAGACGTGCCGCTTTCTCTACACATTGAGGTGTCGCACTTCACTAGGCATGTCAATTACGAAAACTTGGTAGATCCTCCATTATGCAGATCCTTCGGTCTCGTAATGGTATGGTTGTCTGTTTCAGGCCTCTATATTTTGGAATTTTACGCTGAATTTTCGCGCAGCTAGAGTGCGATACATTCTGCAGCTTGCTCGGTGATGTTATTACATTAGGAACTATTATGGCATTATGGCACTGTGGACAACTTTGGATGTTTTTTCATCGAATAGAATAGCGAACGCCTCTCCGAATCATAAAGGCCTCGGAATTTTGGTGGAGTAGAGTAAAATATGTGATGACATCAACCACAGTTCAGAACTCTTCAACACCCATTCAGGCCTCATCAGGCGCGAAAAGAGCAGTAACAGTGAACGAAACGTTACATTGAAATGGCTGAAAAAGCAAATGGAAAAGGTGTTCAAGCAAACAGAGGATGCGCTCTTCCTGTGAGGTTATGCCAAGTGTCTGAGTCAAGTTGCACCAAACCATATTGTGATAATCAACGTTACCACGAAGTTCACTAATCTGTGCAAACACCAGACTACACCACATGATCGCGATATACAGCCCTGGGCCTTCTTATTCCGACTCACTCCGTTTAAACTGCCGTTGCAATCAATTCCAAGCATGCATCTGCATGTAAAGTTAATCGTTCCCAAAGTCAATAACCACGGGCGACAAACCTCTCGTCTTATTCTACGGTTCCGTACCCTGAAATAAAGCAAAAATAATAAGCGTTTATTAGCTGAAATGTACCAACTGCTTTAACTAAGCGTGTGTTTGACTTAATTTTT